AACATAAGAAGATTAGATACAATTATAACGTCAGAAAATACAATAGAGGGAGTGTGATAATGATAGGGTCGCTAAACGATGTTGACGGAATATAGTGACTAGCCTAATCCTCTTGTCGCATGGGTAGGCACGCCCCCTTAGAGTACTTATGTAAACAAAAGGTCTTCCATAGAGAACTATTCTTTTTTCAACAGCTTCGCGCGTGCAGCGGATTATGTATATAGTGACACTATACAGCTAACTGCAGTTAAATCTGTGAAAGCTGTTATTTAATTTATTCTGCTGTGTCGGACATTGTTGGCCAGCCCAATGGTTCATTCACTCATTCTTTTCTGAAGATTGGTGATGCATATTTTGAGTGCTTAATCAGTTGCCCTCCTTCTTACAAAAGAAAGGAAAAAGGGAGAGAAACAGAGACAGTGTCAAATAAAAAGGGTAAAGAGTAATATAATACATTAATTAAAGGGACTCGCGGTGGAAGAAACGATAGACTGTTTTGCATCAAGGTATGCAATTATAATCCCGCATGGCCATTGCATATACGGCCGTACTTTAAATACATTACTCATAGTTGTATTAAATTACATTATTTTGCTGAATAGACATACGTTTTAAGGCCGATAATAGGGTTAACTACGCTCAAAATCATGTTTTTGAGTTTTTTTGTGTATTTCTATTCATCAAAAAAGTATCTAACGTTGGATTTATAAATTTTTATGAATTTGCACCGCAAAATGTGTCATTTGATGAGTTTTTCAACCGGCACGCGCTCCAGTCAGGCTGACAACTAAGCCACGCCTCTGTTACTAAAGGCCGTTGCCATGAGGGGGGCGGAGCATAGTTAATGAGCTATAAGCAGATTACGTGGGCGGTAATAGGTCATAAGTCTTATATCATAGTCCGTGGGCCAAATACCGAAACCCTCCCCCCCCTTAGTGATTTTCGTTCACTATGTTTTTCTGATAGCTTAGGTCCTTAGCTTTTATTTTCTTCTTGTTTGCCATTAAACTGGTGGTGGGTGTGTGTGCTACAGCCGTTGCCATGGTAACACACGGGTTAAAAATTGACATTTCTGAGCCCAACAAAATCTAAAATATTTCAAATACATAAACTAAATAGAATTCAAAATCGTTCTAGACATGTAGTCTAAGATGTGCACTATACC